CGGTCCTTACACGGAACTTCGCACATATTTTTCCGGCGTGCGTTTTTTCAACTTTTGACGGTTTTATGCGTGGATATTTGTTTCTGGTTGTCTCGAATCGTGATTTGTGAGTGCTAAAAGCCGTGTTTGTTTGACGATGACGGTAATTGCGGCCCGAAGGTCACGGAGAGGATCAATGAATTTATTTTATTTCGGTTAATTTACGATATTTACGTCGTATTTTCTTTTAAAAGATTGGCGTCAGAGACCCAGATGGGACGACACGTTCCCACGTTTGCCGAAACGCACTCGAGCCTCTCCTGCCCCCACATAAAACTTTACAACCCTCCTAAGACAAATTCGCCCTCTAAAAGCGTTTATTCGCCCATTTTTCTACCTGGCAGTTTATTCGGAATTTTTAAACCACCTCTGTTTACGACGCGAACGTAATTCCAGCGAAATTTTATACGCGCTATATTTCAAAATACAAATCTTCGTTTAACCGGTCCCAACTTCCAAAAGGAATTATTATGCTAATAAAGCGACGAACTTGACGAAGTCGGCGCCTCTAGACCCACCTGATCATCGTCAGGTAGGAAAAAATACATAAATAATAAATAAGATTATTGTTGTGCATTTTTAATGGCGCGGAGGAGGACGTGGGTGTCCTCGGGCACGTTTCCGGTATCAATGTTTCATCTCGTTCTGGGCCGCCAAATAATTCAATACGTGCTCGAAAAATAAAACACCGAACCCGAACGAATAACCCACCATACAAAAAAAGTTATTCGGATGCGTAATGCAAATTCGCCGGCGAAGCTGGATCGCAACGCACGGCCAGAAAATCTGACGGATCTGATCAGATTATCTGATTGTGTTTTACATTTCAACTTCGTGAATACATTGTTATTTTTGCCCGCGGGGGAATGACGGCCGCATGACAAGCGGTTTTCAGATGGGGCTCAGAAAATTGCCGAAAATATGATCAGGCCATTTGCTGATAAATTAACCGTTTCTACTGTAACATCAAGCACTTATTTCTTGCGTATGTGACCTGGATTGTCCGTCGCAAAATCTGGTCAGATTATCTGATCATTACTCCAATGTTTATTGCAATTTATGAGAAAACTTACGAGGTTTCAGATAATAATCTGGAGATATTTTTGACTTTCCGCGTCATCTGATACATCTTCCGAAAAAACTGCTAAAAAAATTATCAGATTGTGCGTTGCATTTGACTAGAGTGACTCGATTTTCAATGAATTTAAATACGGAAAAAATATTCGAATGGCTAATGAAAATACGTACGGTCCTCATCAGATTATCTGATTATTTGATAGATTCGACATTGAAAAATTGGGTAAACCGGGATTTCTGTTTGGGATTTTTCAGTTTTTCGATTTTCTAATTGTCCGGATTTAAATTTTTACATTTTTCGATCGTTCAATGTTTGCATTTTAACGTTTTTTTGATGTTTCGATTCAATTACAATTTTTTTAATTTTTAATGCTTAAATTTTTCGATTTCGACTTGTCGGTTTTTCAGTTTTTACAATTTTTTTTTAATTTTTCGATTTTGAGCGATTATAACTTCCCGATTTTAAGTTTTTTACTTTTTTGGGTTTTTGATTTTTAGATATACGTATCAATTAAAAAAAAAATTCAATTTTTCAGTTTTTCGACTTCTCGACTTGTCGATTTCTCGATGTATCGACTTTTTGGCTTTTCGATTTATCGATCTTCCAATTGTTCGATTTCCGAATTTTTCTAGATTTCACTTTTGGAATGTTTCAATGTATCGATTTTTCAATTTTTCGGTTTTTCGATTTAGCAACTTTTTAGTATTCCAGTTTTGGGATTTTTCAACATTTCGATTCTTAAATTTTTCAATTTTTAGATTTTTCAAATTTTGTTCCTTTCCGATGTTCAATTTGTCAATTTTTCGAATTTTAAAATTTTGGATTTTTCAGTTTTTTGATGTTTCAATTTTTTTGATTTTTAAGTTTTTTGATTCATCAATTTTGATCGATTTACCGATCTTGTAATTTTTCATTGTTTCGGATTTCTCGAAAAATTGGACAAAACGATTGCTAGATTTCTCGATTTTTTAGTTTTTCAATTCTTCAATTTTCAGACTTTCGACTTTTCAATTTTGCAATTTTTAAAATAGTCGAGATTTTTTGACTTTTTGCTTGCTCGTCCTTTTGATTTTTCAATTTTTCGATTTACATGTCAATTTATCAGTTTTCCGATATTACAGTTTTAGGATTTTTCAACATGTCGGTTCTTAAATTTTTTCATTTTTCGATTTTTTTACCTTCTGGATTTGTCAATTTTTCGATTTTTGATGTTTCGATTTCTCGATTTTTCAATTTTGGTATTTTTTTTAGTTTCCAATTTGTGTTTTTCGATTTTCTCAATTTTCCGATACATATTTCCGTTTTACGATTTTTCAATTTTTCGATTTTTTCATTTTCTCAATTACTGTCGTTTCTAAATTTTCAACTTTTCGATTAATCGATTTTTTTACTGTCCCATTTCTCGATTTGTCGACTTTTTGATGTTTCGATTTCTCTTCTTTTCAGTTTTTCAAATTTTTAATTCTTCGCTTTTTCATATTTTTAATTTTTCCATTTTGATTGGTGCTTCAATTTTTGGATTCTTCAATTTGTTAGTTTTTCAACATTTCGATGCTTCAGTTTTTCGTGTTTCGTTTCGATTTTTCTAATTCTTGATTTTTTCAATTTGTTGGTTTTTCTATTTTTTGATTTTTTCAATTTGTTAGTTTTTCGATTTTTCTGTTTTTTAATTTTTCTTGGAGTTTCGATTTCTCCATCTTTCAACTTTTCGACTCTCCAAATTTCAGTTTTGGGATTTTCAGTGTCTCAATTTTTCAGTTTTTCTGTTCTTCAATCTTTGGATTTTTCACATTTTTGATTTTTCGATCTTGCAATTTTTTGGTTCTTGATTTTTCGATTTTTTAAATTTTCGAATTCTCAAGTTTTCGTTTTTTAATTGTATAATTTTACAATTTTTGGATTTTTCGAGTTTTCGTTTCTTCGAAATTTCAATTTTTCGATGTTTAGATGTTTCGGTTTGTCGATATCGCAATCAGTTTTTCAATTTTTTGATTTTTTGATTTATCAATTTTTTTAAATTTCCAATGTTTTGATTTTCCGATTTCTAGGTTTTTCGATGTTTCGAGTTTTCAATTGTGGTTCTTTATATTTCTACATTTTTCGATTTTAACAATTTTTTGGTGTTTCGATTCAACTGTTTTTTAATTTTGAGTAAGTCAATTCTTCGATTTATCGACATCTCGGTTTTTCAGTTTTTAAGTTTCAATTCTTCGATTTTATATGTTTTTAATTTTCCATTTTTCGGTTTTTCGGCTTTTCGATTTTTTTGATCCATTTTTGAATTCAATTTTTCAGTTTTTTAATATTTCGATTCTTAAATTTTTTTCGTTTCGTTTCGATTTTTCAATTTTCTGAACTTTTGACTTTTTAGATTTGTTAGTTTTTAGATTTTTCTCTTTTACTTTTTTCAATTTTTTGACGTTTCGATTTCTCGATTTTCCGATTTTTCGCCTCCTCGGTTTTCAATTTTTCAATTTTTATATTTTTGGATTTTTGAATCTTGCAATTGTTTGGTTCTTAATTTTTGGATTTTTCCAATTCTCAAGTTTTCGTTTTTTATTGTAGATTTTCGGATTTTTCGAGTTTTCTATTCTTCGAAATTTCGATTTTTCGATATCGCAGTCCGTTTTCCATTTTTTTGAGTTTTTGATTTACCAATTTTTTTTTAATTTCCAATATTTTGTTTTTTCGATTTCTCGATGTTTCAATTTTTCCATGTTTCGATTTTCAGATTTCTAGGTTTATCGACTTTTCGAGTTTCCGGCTTTTCAGTTTACCGATTTTCAAATTTTTCGAATTCTCAATCTTTTCAGTTCTCTAATTATTCGGTTTCTTAAACTTTTATATTTTTCGATTTTTCAGTTTTTTTTTAATTTTAAGTTTTCCAATTTTTCGATGTTTCGACTTTTCAGTTTTAGATTTCCCAATTTTTCAAGATTTTATTTTGGCATCAATTCATCGATATTTCAGTTTTGTAGTTTTTAAAATTTTTACATTTTTGGATTTTTCAATTTTTCGATTTTAACGATTTTTCGATGTTTCAACAATTTTTTAATTTTTAACACTTAATTTTTCGATTATCTATTGTTCAACTTTCCGAATTTTCGTTTTTTTTTATTTTCGGTTTTATCGATTTTTTTTTATTTTTCGTTTTTGAGCTATTTCAATTTCTGAATTTTTTGATATTTTGATTTTTCGATTTACTGATCAATTTTTTTAGATTTGAAATTTTCCAATTGTTCGGTTTTTCAAATTTTCCATTTTTCAGTTTGTCGCTATTTCTGTTTTTGAGTTTGAAAAGCATTTTTCGTTTTGTCGAAATAAACCAATTTTTCGTCGTATTTTTGACGTAATGATTAGTGTGTGGTTGGTGTCAGCATTACTCATAGTAAGTAGCTTCGCGTTAATAGTAATTGTCCTATAAATAAAGCAGCTTCCCATTATTAAATTAAGCGAGTAATTTAATGGGATGTTTTATTATTGAATCGTTACATACAGTTGTATTAATGTACGAGTAGCGGTACATTGTTTATTAAACCATTAGTAGCTGATAGCGCGTTTATTTACATATCGCTAATTGACTGAAATTTAAAAGCCTGGTTTGTTTTCAAATTAAATAGCTGTTAATGTATTGTTTGTGGCAATGCTCGAATTGTTTGAATAGAACCGAGATAAGATTCAGTTGCGAAAAGCGATGTATCGGAAACGATATATTATCGTTATGTGTTGGGAAGAATAGCTTTTATGTCCTGTGTAACACAGTTTAGAATATCGACCCCGTCGCTTCTTGCTTTATAGGGTTGGACGTCCTATAACCATGTAATTTTAAACAACCATCATCTGCGTTAAACACTCTATCTTCATAATTTTTATTTTTTTCCAGCCGCCCCTGGCGCAGAGGCAGCACAGCGTCCCGGGCCCGGATCCGCGCGACGAATGCCGCCTCTCCACCAACAACAACGTGAAGATCTCCCCGATGGGCGGCTGCACCCCGTCCCAGCACAACACCCCGCCGGCATCGCCGCAACAGGCGACGCAGTCCCGACGTCTGTTGCAGGAAACCCTCTCCGGACCGGCGCCTTATCCCATGATCGCCGTCCCGGAAAAGGGTTACTGGGTCGACGGAACCGATCACGAGGTCTCGTTCGACCACAGGGGCGCGCCGATCCTCTCCCACCAGACGTGGAGGGCCAAGATCGAGACGGACGACACGGGGAAGTGCTATAGGAGGTTCTACGTGGGCAGGGTAAGGGCTCGTTGGTATTCCGGCGGCGAAACGGTGACGACGCCCCCGGGCTGGCTCATCGTCGGACGCTACGCCGTGTTTTTGTTTATATACGGGGGGAGAATTTATTCGGTTTGCGAGGGACCGTTTGAAATAATATAGAGGGTAGGCTTATAAGGTGGCGGTTTGCCTTTAGATAAAGGTACGGCGGGTGAATTTTAAGTGGGGCGCTGGGAATGCCGAGAAGGTCGGGATAGAGAGATGAAATATGTATAGCGGGTTAAAAAAGTTGGTTTGTAATTCGGGCGCGGACAGGGGTGGGAAAATTGCGTAAGATCGGAGATTACGGCCGGGATGGTGCATTATCCATTGCAAGGCGATCGAGATGAGGAAGCGGCTGTTGAATGTTAAAAATTCGAGATCGGGTTATGGCGTAGTTATTTATTTTTTTTGGATTGGCAACCGCCGTGGATGTAAAATCGGAGGTTAAATTTGCTGGGTATGTAAATAGGGTCGTTGCTCGGATAAGCCAATAAAATGAGTAGAGATGTAGTTTTTTGGGGAAGTTTCTGGTGGATTAGGACCGTTCAGAGGCATCCTTGGATGATTTTATTCAGGTTTATTGACTGCTGGCTCTCAGCAAATCTTTGGCCTAGAAACTTGAAATTACGGGTCAAATAAAATAAGTCCTGTGGCAGAAAGCTGAGCCGTGACGAATTAGCCGAGTACGCTAATCCCGACGTGTCAACGAGATGCTCACTCATCCGTGGTGAACGTTTTTTTTTTTTTCGTAAGTAGTAAGTAATAAAGTTCAAAGAATTAATCAATAGCGATAACATTACCCAAATAGTTTCCCCCGAATTTTACGTGTTTAAATCACAAAATTTTCAAAAAACTCCCTTGTTTGATTCTCCATTTTTCGATTTTCGAATTATTTAGATTTATCAGTTTTTGGATTGTTCGATTTATTCTGTTTTTCAGTACAAGTTTACATTTTTAAATTTTTCGATTTCCCGGTTTTCGTATTTTTCAATTTCTCGATTTCTCGAGTTTTTGATTTCTCAATTCCTTCATTTTTTGGTTCTGCATTTCCGATTTCTCAATTTCTCAAATTTTTGGTTTCGCATTTTTCGATTTTCCCATTTCTCCATGGTCAATTTTTCGATTTCTCGAGTTCCCAATTTCTCCAGTTCTCGATTTTTTTGGTTCCTAATTGTCCTATTTTTTAATTTTTCGAATTCTCAAGGTTTCGTTTTTTTTTATTGTATAATTTTTGGATTTTTGGATTTTTCAAGTTTTTCCTTCTTCTCGAAATTTCGGTTTTTCGCTTCTTCGATGTAGATGTTCCGATTTTTCGATATCGCAGTCAGTTTTCCAATGTTTTGATTTTTTCATTTATCTATTTTTTTTAAATTTCGAATATTTTGATTTTTCGATTTCTCGATGTTTCAACTTTACCATGTTTCGATTTTCGGATTTTTAGGTTTTGCGACTTTTCGGTTTTTCAATTTACCGATTTTCAAATTTTTCAGTGTTTGGAGTTTTCAATTTTTCAATTCCTCAATTTTTCAGTTTTTTAATTCCCTAATTATTCGGTTTCTTAAACTTTTATATTTTTCGATTTTTCAATTTTTCGATTTTAACGATTTTTTGATGTTTCGATTGAACTATTTTTTAATTTTGAATATTTCAATTTTTCAATTTATCGATGTCTCGGTTTTTCAGTTTTTAAAATTTTCGACTCGATTTCTGAATTTCTACAAATTTCGACAATTCGATTTTTCGATTTTTTTATTTCCCGATTTATCGATTTTTTTTATTCATTCGATTGTGGCCTATTTCAATTTTTCGAGATTTTTTTGGGATCAATTCATCGATATTTCAGTTTTGTGGCTTTTTAAATTTTTGGATTTTTCAATTTTTCGATTTTAACGATTTTTCGATGTTTCAATTCAACAATTTTTTAATTTTCAATATTTACATTTTTCGATTTCTTGACGCCTCTTCCCAATTTCTCCAGTTCTCGATTTCTCAATTCCTTCATTTTTTGACTCTATTTTCGATTTTTCGATTTCTCATTTTCTCAAATTTTTGGTTCTGCATTTTTTGAAATTTTGTTTTCTCGATCATAAATTTCTCGATTTCTCGGATTCTCAAATTTTTGATTTTTTGAATTGTCGATTTCCCGAATTTTTATTTTGGTTTTTTGAATTCTCAATTCCTCGATTTCTCAAATTTTCATTTTTCGATTGTTCGATTTTTAATATTTCGATTTTTTGAGTCCTCAGTTCTCGATTTTTCGGTTTTTCACTGTTTAGATTTTTAAATTTTTCGATTTATCGATTTTCATAATTTAAATTTTTTCGATTTTTAACTTTCCGAATTCTCGAATTTTCATTTTGATTTTTCGAATTAATTTCTCGACTTTTCAATTTTTCAAATTTTTGGTTCTGTAGTTTTCGAAAATTCGAGATCTCGATTTTTCGATTTCTCCAGTTCTCGATTTCTCAATTCCTTAATTTTTTGCTTGTGCATTGTCGATTTCTAAAATTTTTGATTCTGCATTTTTCGATTTCTCGATTTTCTTCATTTTTTGATTCTGCATTTTCGATTTCTCAATTTCTCAAATTTTTGGTTCTGCATTTTACGATTTTTCGATTCCTGGATTATCAGTTGTCTGGATTTTTCTAATTCTAAATATTCTTAATTTTTGAATTCTTGCTTTCTAGTTTTTTTTATTCTGCTTTTTTCAATTTCTCGATTTCTTGATGTTTGGATTTTTCAGATTTCCCAATTTTTCGAGATTTTTTTGGGATCAATTCATCGATATTTCAGTTTTGTCGTTTTTAAAATTTTTGCATTTTTGGATTTTTCAATTTTTCGATTTTAACGATTTTTCGATGTTTCAATTCAACAATTTTTTAATTTTTAATACTTACATTTTTCGATTTCTTGACGTCTCTTCCCAATTACTCCAGTTCTCGATTTCTCAATTCCTTCATTTTTTGACTCTATTTTCGATTTTTCGATTTCTCAATTTCTCAAATTTTTGGTTCTCCATTTTTTGGAATTTCGTTTTCTCGATCATAGATTTCTCGATTTCTCGGATTCTCAAATTTTTGATTTTTTGAATTCTCAATTCCACGATTTCTCAAATTTTCATTTTTCGAATTCTCAATTTTTCGTTTTTTCGATTGTTCGATTCTTAATACATATTTCGATTTTTTGAGTCCTCAGTTCTCGATTTTTCGGTTTTTCACTGTTAAGATTTTAAAATTTTTCGATTTATCGATTTTCGCAATTTAAAGTTTTTCGATTTGTTTACTTAATTTTCTCGATTTTTTAATTTTCCGAATTCTCGAATTTTCATTTTGATTTTTCGAAAACTCGAGATCCCGCTTTTTCGATTTTTCGAGTTCTCGATTTCTCGACTTTTGATTTTGATTTTTTTAATTCTCGATTTCTCAATTTCCCGAGTTCTGAATTTCGCAATTTCTCCATTTTTTAATTCTGCATATGTATTTGGATTTTTCGGTTTCTGGATTATCAATTTTATTATGTTTCGAATTCTTGATTTTTAGATTTCTCAGTTTCTCTATTTGGTGATTCTGCATTTTTCGATTTTTAGAATTTTCATTTTGATCTCCTGATTTTTCGAATTCTCAATTTTCCTTTTTTTAGATTGTTCAAATTTTCGATATTTCGGAGATTCGAATTTTCATCTTGATTTTACGATTTTACCAATTCTCAGTTTTTCTTGATTTTTCGAAAACTCGAGATCCCGCTTTTTCGATTTCTCGAGTTCTCGATTTCTCAATTCTTTAATGTTTTGCTTGTGCATTGTGGATTTCTCAAATTTTTGATTCTGCATTTATCGATTTCTCGAATTTTTATTTTAATTTTTCGAAGTCTCTGTTTCTTATTTTCTTGAATTCTCGATTTTCTTCATTTTTTGATTCTGCATTTTTCGATTTTTCGATTCCTGGATTATCAGTCTGGATTGTTCGAATTCTCAGTTTTCTTAATTTTTGAATTCTTGATTTCTAGTTTTTTTTTTATTCTGCATTTTTCAATTTCTCGATTTTTCGAATCTTTATTTTGATTTTTCCATTTTTCGGATGCTCAAGTTTTGGGTTTTTTCGATTTGATTTTTCGATTTTTCGGATCCTCAAATTTTCGATTTTTGAATTTTTCGTTTTTCGATACTTCGATTTTTCGAGTTCAATTCTCGATTTTTCGATGTTTAGATTTTTCAATTTCTCAATTTTTCGAATTTCCAATTTCTCGATTTCTCAATTTATCCATTTTTTGATTCTACATTTTGCGATGACTTTTCGAATTTTCAATTTATTTTTCAATTTTCCGAGTTCTCTTTCAATTTCTCGTTTTCTCAATTTATCGATTTCCCAATTTCTCAGATTTTTATAGTTCTTCATTTTTGGATATTTTGTGTTTTAGATTATGAATTTCTCGATTTCTCAGTTTCTCCATTTTTTGATTCTGCATTTTTCGAAGTTTTCATTTTGGTTTTCGATTTTTGGATTTCTCAAGTTTTCCCTTCCTCTCGAAATTTCGGTTTTTCGATATCTTAGTTGTCGGTTTTTCGGTTCTTCGTAGATGTTTCGATTTTTCGATATCACAGTCAGTTTTCCAATGTTTTGATTTTTTCATTTATCTATTTTTTTATATTTCCAATATTTTGATTTTTCGATTTTTCGATGTTTCGATTTTACGATGTTTCGATTTTCGGATTTTTAGGTTTTGCGATTTTTCGACTTTTCGGTTTTTCAATTTACCGATTTTCAAATGTTTCAATGTTTCGAGTTTTCAATTTTTCAATTCCTCAGTTTTTCAGTTTTTTAATTCTCTAATTATTCGGTTTCTTAAACTTTTATATTTTTGATGTTTCGATTGAACAATTTTTTAATTTTGAATATTTCAATTTTTCAATTTATCGATATCTCGGTTTTTCAGTTTTTAAAATTTTCAACTCGATTTCTGAATTTGTACAAATTTCGACA